TTCTGGCGAGGAAGGGTAGACTTGTTAGGAAAGCATCTGGGTTTGCCACTAAAGTCCTTCCTGGTTGTCACTTGTCAGTTGAGGGCTGTCAGTCTGTCCATCACATCTGTCTGTGGTCTTCAGTTTATCTTTGTCCCTTTGCTCTCTGCCTCTCTGATACTCTCAGCCTCTTCTGCTCCACCGGAAACTCTTGGGCACATCATAAATGTTTTTTAGTAAGAATAATGACAAAGGACGCTATAGAGGAGGAAGGAGGAAAGATTTTTTTTCTAAATTTGTCCAACCCAGGAGATTCCCCAGGGACATGCCTGAAAATGTGAAGGCCCGGGAAAAACACGTTAAGAGGAAAAAAATTATTTCTCTGTCTGTTTGTCCCAAAGAGTTCTTTGAAATATATAATTTCAAATACATTTCTGGATTCTAAAACTTTTTAGAATGAATAAAGTGTTTAGGATAGGTTGTTTTTATGTTCCCAAACCATTTCTAAAAATTCCGCCGTAAGATTTAAAGTTAAGCAAGCTCCATCAATCTTTTCATCTGCATGTAATGATGCAACTTGTTTGACATTCTTTTCTAAATGACCTACAGAAAAATCAATTGTTCCTGGGAATGAAAGTACATTTCCACTTATAAGTACAGACGAAAGTAAAATGGATTACTTCAGTGAAGAAACGGGAAAAATTTTGTCCTCAGCAACTTAAGTAGTTATGAAAGTACTGGACCTAGGATTCGGAGACAGGTCTGTGACGAGGTAAGAGGGGACTGGCTACAGCATTTGATAGATCTACCCCCTAAAAATTTCCCAAACCCCAAACCCCCAGCTGCTCAATGCTACAGAAAGCTGGAATCTCTTGAGGCTGGAGAAAGCTGGGGGTCTCCCAAGCAACCCCGCCCACACATGGTGGCAACGCCACTATGTGGTTCCAATCCACCCCCTCAGACTCTCCCCTGCAGATGAAAGAAATGGAACCATATTTGGAAAAACGGAACAAATCAAGAAATAAATTAACATGTGAAAAGAGAGAGAAATTTGTCTCAATTTAGGCAAATCTTCCGTTTTTGAAGACTCTGGGAAGACGATAACAATGAAATGTTATAAGAATCAAAAATGACTCAAGGTGATGGCTCAGAGAATGAGGCTGATTAGATAAAGTTCTATGGAGCAAATTGTGTTCAATGAGATTTAAAGGTTTCCCTCTCCTTTCTTTCCACAATTCCTTTTCTGAAAATAAGTGCTTTTCTGTTTCTCGCCAACACCAAGTCCAGAAAACATAATACTGTCTTTTGTCTTGCTCTAAGTGTATTGTGGATGGATTCTTCTGTTCAAGGTTTTGCCTATTTCTTAAAAACTGTTAGAAGAGAGCAGATACTAGACTTCTGAAAAGACAGGAGCTTTTATAACAGGCAACTTGGAATTATTAGCAGACCAAACTGTAACATACAATATGATATATCCAATATGCTAGTTTTATTTTTTAAATCTATTATATACAATCATTTTAATGTTCTGAAATTTAAAAAGGCATGAAATATTGTGAAAATCACCAAAACCAAAGTTTTACACGTTTTCATTTTCCTTTTAATATTTGAAAAAGTAAATGATCTAATTTTTCCTGTGCCTTCCAATAGTGTTTAAATCCAAGATAAGATGCTCCTGTTGCCCCCATATAAGGCAGAAGGAGAGGCCGGGTGGGGAAGGCAGGCTTCGGACACAGGTATGTGCACCCATGTGTGTCTGTGTTGGCCCTCCCCCTACTTCCCTGCAATGCAACACACACACACACACACACACACACACACACACACACACACACACACACACACACACACACGAAGCGGCATCCACTGAGCCAGGGAAAAAACTCTCAGCTGAGGTTAACCCTATAACCCTGCATTTGCTCCACCCTCTTCAAACAAGGCTTGAAATTCTTTCCCAAACTTTGCTGCACTTTCCATGAGAATGGGGATGTTGCTGCATAAAACATGAGCTTGGGAGGGCAGCGAGCGCCCGAGGTGGGAGCTGGGTGGGGGAAGAGGGGAAGAACAGAGAGGTGGGGGAAGGGAAGGGAGGCTGTTTTCTCAGGCTGCATTTCTTGCAGGCTCCTTGGAGACGGGAGAAAGGCCGGGAAAGGTCTCAGCTGGGGCCGGGCCCTCACAGAACCAGCGGAAAACGGGATGCTGAGCCCGACCCGATAGAGCCAGACGGGCTGGGGTTTGAGGAGCTCCAGGAAACTGATGCCAGCCTCTAGGGAAGGCAGGAGAGAGAGAGCTGGGAGAGGGGAAGGGCCTGGGAGGGGAGAAACACGGGAGGCAGGAAGCTCTACACCAGAGCTCAGTCCCCCCCTACATGTGGGTCCACAAAGGGCAGGGACAAAGGTTTGTTTCTTTTGGTGTCTCCACAGAATCCTTCCAGCTGTTTTTGAATGGCCGCAGGTGGCCAGACAGGATTCTTCGCCTGTTATCAGCACCCCAGCGAGGAGGATTTAGGGGTCTGCAAGAGGTCCTCTCCCTGCAAACCAGTTATTAGTACTGCTTGAATTAACTCAGCAATGGGCTAAATGCCAGCAGCGGGAGAGAGATGTTAGGGTATTCTGCTGCTCTGGGGATAGAGGCGTTATGAGAATCCCGGGGCACCACTCGCACCAGAGGCTCTGAAAGGGCAGGAGTGTTTACGCTGCTGGGGGGCAGCAGCTCTCAGGCAGCAGCGCACAGAGCCCCGCATTGGTCCCTGGATTGCACAGCTACCTTGACAGCCTGCTCCCAGGAGGGACTGGGGGAAGAGAACCTCTGATGTTAACAGGGGCGTAGACTACCTTGAATCCTTTCTGGAAAATGCCAGGGTATAAATGGTGGGTTTTTGCTTTTTGTTTGTTTCTTTGTTTTCTTTTCTTCTTCTTCTTTTTTTGCAATTCACCAGTTACTGTAAGTTGGAAAATGATGAGACCAGCTGCTGCATAAGTGCAGTTGGAAGTGGGCCCCAGTGCTGTTCTATAGCAGGAGTCCTCAAACCTGAGCTGTGACCAACCAGACCTCTCAGAGGACATGGAAACACGGGTTGCTGGGACCCAGCCCCAGAGTTCCTGATTCTGTGCTCTGGGGCCAGGCTTGAGAATCTGCATTTCTAACAAGTTCCCAAGTGATGCTGATACTGCTGGTGCAACAACCACACTGGGAGGACGAATGTTCTAGAAAACCTCTCATCTTTATACATGAGGAAACTGAGGCAATGGGGCTGTAATGGTAGAGCCAGGCACCAACAGCCCCTCTCCCTGGAACTTGAGACAGTGCAGCAGCCAGCTCTAGCATGAAACCCCAACGTGGAGATGAGGCAGAAAGGAGAGGGAAAATCCCGTACACTGCTAAAATCAAGCCCCCTCTGTAACCCTCAGGTGCTAAGTCAGGACCTACAGAGCACGACCCACCTGGATCCCACTGGAGGGTCCAGATGGGAAACTGAGGAGGAAGTGATCAGTTCCAAAATTGGACAGGCAGACAGCGGCAGGAGGAAGAGAGGGAGCAAACAGATTACGAAAAGCAATTAACCCAGAGCTGAGAATCAGGCAACACTGAGGAGCCTCCCACAAGCCCTGGGGGGCAGAGATTAACAAACCCTCTAGGACTTGGCAGTTTGGGAGCAGCCCTGCTGCTTCCAGCTGTGACCTGACCCCACATCTGTTATCTCCCGAAGGCCTTGGGGTGGGACCAGGAAAGCTCTGCTGGGAGAATGGCCAGAAAACCAATTAATCTCGCCTCGTCTGGGCTCCCAGGGCCCTATGAGGCTACCACGCCTCTACCAGCCTCCGTGCTCTTCAGCCAAGACAGCGTCACCTAGCGCCGGGTGGGTAAGCACTCGGTAAAGCTGGATAAAGACATGAACACAGCCCTCCTTCTCCCAAGGAAGCAGGCCCTGCGGTCAGCACGTGTCTAGAGGAATCCCACCTGCATGAGCTTCCAGCCTGACCCTTCTGGTTGGGGATGGCAGCAGGGCTCCTGTTACTAACTGGCACAGTATGGGCAAGAGTCCCTCGTCTCCAAAGTGCCCTCTCCATATCTCTCTCCCTGCTCCACTAGAGGAAAACAATCCATTTGCATCTGACCAGTGCATGTTTTGAGAGTGTCAACACCCCTATTCCAGGGGACTGGGCTTGGAATCCCTGACCCTATGCAAAGTGCCTCTTGCTCACCCCACTGCCCCTCAGTCCCATCCAGTTTCAGAAGGGAGGCTCAGATCTGGCCCCGCTCCGCCCCATTTCCCAGCAGCCAGGCAGAGGCTGTCAGTGGCCCAGGGAGCACTGTGAGCTGGGGTCTGCTGCCCGGTGTTGCCCAGGCTTGGGCTGTAGGGAGAAAGGTCCCATGTGCAGAGCTGCACTGTGGCTGCAGAGGTAGTGTCCTGGCTTTGAACCTGCCCCTTGTAGCTGACCCTGGATTGGCCCACTGGGGACCCCAGGAGGGCTTCCTGGTTCTGTGCCTGGTCTCATGGACACATACTGTGCCCGCTGTGGGAGCACCGGGGACCTCTGGGCTCCGAAGGACCTCTGTCCCTGTTTCACTCTTGGGTGAGTCTCATGTCAGCCCTAGAAGTTACACAGACAGAACAGATAGACACAGAGTGGGTGGGACCCAGCTCTGTCCTGGGGCCATGAAACTGCAAACCTCAGAGCATTGCCACTCTAGAGGTTGCAAAGCTGCAAATCACAGAGCTGTTTATTCCCCAAAGCTGCCCATCTGGGGAGATTTGTCTCCCCTACTCTAATGCCCATTGAGCTTTGCTAAGAAAACCTTGAGGGGGTAAAGGCTGGAAAAGGAGAAGGGTAAAGGCTGCTAAAGAGTCGCTGGGGAAAACAGGTTCTGTGTAGTTGGGCAGAGGCCATGCAGACTCGGGCCCTAAACACAATGTGCTGTGGCCCATCTGGGGAAACTGCAGATCCCAGTCAGCACTGTCCTGCCACCTCCCTGTCCCTGCCCTTTAGATGCTATTTGTCCAGGGATTGTAAACTCACCCACCAGAATCAAGCATCATTAGGAGATAAAATCTGCTGCAAATGGATCACATGAGGCATTTCAAAGCCCGGCAGGCTGATCAGGAGATGATTTGCTGGTTTGTGGCACCTGGAGCACCTCTTCACTCTGTTCCACAAATCAGAATTTGGCTGTGATTTCTCTGCAACTTGGGCTTCCCGTAAGTCCCTCCTCTGTGCTCAGGGATGGTGGGGAGCCTGCCTTCCAGCCCGGAAGACAAGTTTCGGCAGAGTGAATGGGAGGCATGGAGAAAAGGGTGACAGCTTTCTCCTACACAGGAGGCCTACACAAGAGGGGGAAGGGCACTCCTGAGAGACCTTCTCTACCCGCCCCCCAAACTCACTGTCAGATAAAGGTACCCAAGGGCTTCACAACGTATGCACGCCCTTGCCACACACTCGCCATGCTGCCTCTGCTCACAACATCATCAGTTCTGGAACTTCTCCCCCACGGAGCCTCCTGAATGTTGGAGAGCAGGACTCCAGGACCCCACAGGGACTCTGATGAGCAAGAAACTCAAGAGGCTCTTCTTCTCCTGTTCTTCCTCGGAAGCATTTTGCCTTAAGGATGAGACTTAATCCAAGCAAGGCACAGAGCCATCTCAATTGGTTTATTTCTCCATTGGTGCATAACATGATGTGTGTCCAACTCAGCAAGCTCCCCAAGGCAGGGCTCACCCCCACATCATTCATACTGTACAGGAGCCAGAAAGCTGCTGGCAACTACATATGCACATATATGCACACACATGCACAAGCTCACACATGCTCTGGATGCTAAACCCATCCTGGCCTTGATGCCACTTTTGGCTTTGGGGCAGGTGTCAGGAGGGAATGTGGTACCCTACAGTGGGATTTTCCTTCCCAGACTACACAACGCACAGATGGAGAGACCAAACCAGCACCTAAGCCCACATTTCCACTGGGAAGATCTGGAGGTTTGTTGGAAACTGGGGAGGACTAGAAATGATTCTCCAGTCTAGATTGGGTGAGAATGTGAGCAAGATCACACAGCCCAGAGCCCACATGTTTGCACTCCCAGGCCAGAGATGGTTACACTTCACTTGGCCATGCTGAGACCCAGTCCCGTGAGGCCAAACGTCACCTGAGGGCCCAAGGAGAGAAGGTAGCAGCAGCAGCAGGGTTAATGTGAACCAGCAGCTCTCAACCAGGAGTAATTCTGCCCTAAGGGGGCATTTGGTAAGGCATTTTTGGCTGTCACAAATAAAGGTGCTACTGGCATCTTAGTAGGTGGAGACCAGGGATGCTGCCAAACATTCTACAAGGCATAGGACAGTTTCCCAGCACCAGGAATTAGCCAGCTCAACTTGTTAACAGTGCCACTATTGAGAAGCCCTGCCCTGAACACTGCTGCACCCTCCGAGCCATGATTACTGAGTTGTACAAAGAGAAATTGCAAACGAATCAGAATCACGGCCCTTCAGCCCTGCCTTAGATTTCAGATCGTCCTCAAAGGATTGGGATATATTGGGGTGGGGCAGGGTGCAGCAGAGAGCTGTCCCACACACAATCCTCTGGAAAGCTGGAGGTGTTCCCAGTGGGATCTCAGAGATTATCTTGTCCAAACATGCTCATTGTATGAAACTTATGGAGCTATAAGCAAAGACTGCACCATCACAAGACAGAGAAAACATGCTGATCACAAGCACATTTGGAAAGCCAGAAACATGAGCAACCCTGTGAGGTCAAAAAAGATAGTCGAGGGTGCACATAGGAATACAGGAAGCATGACTTCACGCCGCAGGTACCCATCTCATAGACCTCCTTATTCCCAGAGGCAGCCCAAGCTGCAAACATAACTGTAACCACCAAAGACAAGGGTTCAGATGGGTAGGCAGGAGTCAGGGCTGAAACAGAGGGTTCCTGGGTCCTAAGGGTTTCGGCTTCCCAGCTTCACCGTGTCTCATTCTGTGCACATTCTAGGTGGGGATCTACCACTGTTTACAAAGCCAGTGTTCCAATGCCATTTCCCGGCAGTGCTGGTAGCAGCCTGACTCTCAGATGCCCAGCAAACGGGTCAAGGTTTCTACGGAAGCAAGCAAAAGGACCACAGAGCCAAGGGCTCCAGGGTGGTGATATCAGGGTGGAAGGTGATAAGCCCATGGCCCGGGAAAGGGCCTGGCAAATCTTACTCTGCATTCCCAGCCCTTCAGTAGCAGAGGTTTGGCAGCAAGAGTGTGCGTTGGCCCCAAAGCCTGGAGCACCTGGGAGTGGTGGGCATTTCGAGGCTGCCATCCCTCCACATGCTCTTAGGCACATCTCTACCCAACCAGGGGAGGGAAGCAGTGAAAGAAGCTTCTCCTTCCAGGAGCCCCTTACTCCTGGGAAAAACACCTGTGGCCCCAGTTCGCTAGTAGGGCCTCACCTCTGCACCCATGTCAGCCCTGCTCCCTGCTCTCCCACCCACCCAGCTGGCATAACGGCAGACAAACAAATGTCTAGCCTCCGAAAATAAAGCTGTGGAGCTGATCCACTGTGACTCACTTGGACACGGCCAGCGAACGCGCAAAGGGACATCTGTCCAAGTACTCACCACTAGCAGCTCAGCCGCGTGCAGTGAAATCAGACAGCAGGCAGGAGAAGCAGCACTGGGGACACCAGCACCATCAGCCCGGCTATCTGTGACCGGGCTCTCCCCTGCTCACCCCCAGCGTCAGAGCTCAGGACCCCAGCCCAAGCCTGGCAGCAGACCCCGGGCCACAGACATGCCAGCTCCCAGATCCCTGAAAGGGGCTCGGGGCTTCCTCAGGCCAATGAGGGGCCAGGGCTTGAGCCCCACTAGTGCTTCTCCGTCCAGGGAGCCAGGACTGCTGCTGCTGCTCTCAGAGAACACATTTCCCTGTAAAGCCACCAGGCCACTGCGCCCAGGTGAGGTCAGCAAGAAACCTCTCTGTCCCGCCGGGCAGCTCTGGGAGGATAGGTCCAGCCACAGGGAAAGCAGCACACCTCGTCGCAGCCCTCCCAGAGCGGCTCCGATTGTGCCTTGCTCTGCTGAGCCTCGCTCCCGGCGCCAGACAAAAGCGCTGGAAACCGCTCACAGCCTGGCCGTGATGCACCGATCGCCGCGGAGCCCGGCCACCCCACCGAGGGCTGGCGTCCTCTCCCGAGTTTCCTCAAAGGCACCTGAGGGTGGTTTAGGGTGAGTTATCCTCATGGAGTGGACTGCTCACCCCAGGAACACTCCAACTTTGGCTGCACCAGAGGGCAGTGCTGTAATGCCCTGGCTTAGAGAGAGAGAGAGAGAGAGAGAGAGAGAGAGAGAGAGAGAGAGAGAGAGAGAGACAGTGAGAGAGAGTGAGAAGCAGTGTGTGCGTCTTCCCGGGTGTCTATCTGTCCCTCTTGGATTCCCACCCGATCCCTCTCTCCCCCTGCATTTGGAGATGGGGGATGGGTGGTGAGAGACACACAGATTCAGAACAGGCAGGAGACACTGTCCCTCCCTCCCCACCCGCTTGCCACCCGCCCTGGGAGGGTGATAATGCCACCCCTCCCGCTCCTGCCTCCTCCACAGCTGCTGCTGTCAGCAGTCGCTCCCCCTGCCGAACGCTCTCAGGGAACAACTTTGGAAGAAGCAGCATTTCGCGAAAGAGAAAGAGTCTGTGGCACAGACCCTCCTTTTTTCAGCTCAGGTCCTCTCCTGCTCCTGTTTTGGTGATCGTCTCCACCACCCTGTCCCCAAGCCCACCCTCCGTCTCGGAGCCATCCCAGCCTTCCCGCGGGCCTGGGCTGGGAGGCAGCCAGCAGCCGGCTCCCGGGTGCCACACGCCTCCTCCGCCTTCTGTCCCTGTGCTGCCCACCAAGGTGCACTACAGACAGGCATGAGCCGTAACCCCGGGTTATCTGCATGGTTTATCCTGATAGAACACAGGACCGGGGCGTGGTGGGGACAAGGGCGGCATATTCCACGGCCTCTTCTCTCTCTCTTCTGAAGATTAAACACCTCAGGTCTGAGCAGCTCCTCTCTCTTGCATATCTTGGCTACCATAGAGAAGACCAGGACTCCATCTGTGGCTTTAACATTTTCCTCCTCCTTTGCAAATGACTGTGGCTTGTTCTCAACAAGTGCAAAAACCATCAGTCACTCCTGGCCTGTGAAGCCAGCAGGGTCCCTGCTGCCTCTTTCCTACATTTCCCTGCCACGCTCAGTTTGTGCTGATGGACCTGCAGGGAGGAAGGGGAGAAGGTAACCAGAGTGAGGGAGCTGGTATTGGGATGGGTGCTTAGGAGACAGATCACCCAGTGGTGCCAACCAGGCCCGGGCAGCCCCGGGCAGCTCAGAGCTGTGGGTGACTGCCGGGGCTCAGGGGTGAGGCAGGCCCAGGACTACACACTTATCAACTGAACGACCTTGAGCAAGCTGTTAAATCTCTGAGATTTGGCTTCCATATAGGAAAAATGGGAATATTAATATCAACTGTGTGAAGGTCAAATGGGATGAATAGGTAAGGTGCTGTTCACAGCGGCCCTCGGGAAATGCTGGAGCCTCATTGCTTCTTTCCTGGAATCCTGAGAGACCGATGTGGTCGTTCCAGCCACAGGGAGGGGGCCTCCAGGCGAGCTGTGTAAAGAAGGGCCCAGCTCGGAGAAGCTAACAGGGGTGTTTAGAAAGAGCAAAGCCAGGGCTCTAAATCCAGGGAGGAGAGGCAGAGGGGTGACCGGTTGGGAAAGCGAGTCCAGCCAAGGAGGCAGAACATAACACAGGGCAAGCCAGGCTGGGGCCGGGGACCCCTGGCGAGGGCTGTGGGAGTCACGAGAGGAGCAGAGTGTAGAGTGTTGGGGGTAGAGAAAGCCCCTCACCCCACAGAATTGCTGGTCTGGGATTTTCTGGAACAGAATCTGGGGACCCTGGCAGAAGGCAGCTGGATCAGCACCAACAATCAGAAGCCAAAATGGACAAACTGAGGCTTAAATAGAACAAGATCAAGTTTCTCCAGAGACGGATAGGGAAGAAAATGCAATGGCCTGCCTGCCACAGAAAGTCCCCTGTAACCACCAATGGCCCCTGGGATGACAGGGTGGCCACAACCCAAGTGTCTGGGCCTGAAGACAGGCCCCGGGCAGAAGAGGCTCTAATCATGGGTGGATCACAGGGGTCTCAATTCACACCTGAAACAGGCTTGCCTGGGCCACACGTGGTTCACATCACGAGCCTTCGCCTGTGGAGGTACGGCTCAGAGGTCATAGCATCCAAGCTGGAGAGATGGGCCTGGGGTAGACAACAGGGGTTGACTATGAATGCTCAGGCCAGCACCCTGACAGAGGCAGCCCAGTATCAGGGAAGGTCATGGCTGGGAAGACAGTAGGCTTGTGTTCTAGTCCCCATTCTGCCAACAACTGGCTGGGCTGTTAGCATTCTCTGGCCCTCTGTATCTTCTTCTTTGACATGAGACCAGATTTGTGGTTTTCAAACACTTTTTCTGCAGCAGAACCAATTCTTCAAGTGAAACCTTACCTAGAACATCTATACCTAGATCAAGAGAAGCAGAGCTACATTGATTGGCGGGGGAGGCTGGCCCCTGGATGCTCAGTGTCCCTCTGCGATCTCAAGGTAGCTTGGAAGTACTCCAGAGCTCCTCGAACACAGCCCGAAACTATAGCATTAGCTGTCTGGAGGGCTTTTCCCCTTGCTGACTCCAAGGCTTTTTATTTCCAGGGAAAGTTAAGTAGAGCCCAGCTGGAGGGCCCGGCCCGAGGGGGTCCCCCTGTGCGCGCGCGCGCGCACACACACACACACACACACACACACACACTCAGACACCTCCTGCGGCCGCAGGGCCCACAGCAGAGGCTGCTGAGGTGGGCGCTGGCCTCCGCGCTACAGCTGACAGAAGGGAGGCCAGCCGGGCCCTGTGCTCCAGGGTGACAAATGTACTATATGGCAAGGCCAGATGGACGCCCCTGCCTTTGGCACTGTGGCTCCTCCAGGAAACACTGGGCTCCTTTTCATACCCGGGGTAGTCGCAGGCTCCCTCTGTCCGGGCTCAGCCAAATCATAAATCTCGCCTGCCAGGGCAGCTGGCGGCCCTGACCCGGCCCTGTGCTTCCCGCCTTGGCTTCGCCACATGCCAAGATGGGGATCCCAGCACGAGCAGCAGGAGGAGGGACATGGAGCTGAGCCCATGTGGATCCAGAGCCCTGTCTTGGTTCCGGGCTTTCTAGAATGTTCTTCGCCCAAATTTTCCCTTTTGCCTTTCTAGTCCATCCTTCTTCCTCCTGCCCGGGACGCTGCCATGGGCCTTTGCTGACCCTCCTCACACCGGCCTCCTCAGAGCTTAAGTCTGAAACTGGGAAGTTCCGTGAGGCCTTGAAGCTCAAGACCACCCTTGCCCTGCCCTGGGCCTCCGGGAAGGAGGCTGGAGTAGCACCCCAGCCCCAGCCCCAGCCCCTCGAGGGGTGTTCTTGCCCAGGCAGGTCCCTCCGCTGCAGGTGCAGACAGGGCCGCCAGGCACAGACAGCCCCAGAGGGGTGCAATTGGCCTCACACTCGCCCAGGGAGGTTTCTTGTCTTCCTAGGTCCACCTTCAGGTTATTTGTTCCTAATTCCACCCACTGTCCTGTGTCCACATCCCAGGCGAGGATCTCCCCTGCTGCCCGGCCCCCACCTTCCCTTCCTTTCTTCTCTCTTTCTTTTGAATACAACACATCACTTTGTGTGGCACTTTATGGTTTGTAAACAGCTCATTTCCCCTTCACAACGAGGTGGGTATTGTCACTCCACTTTTCAGGTGGTCTGACTGGCCCAAGGTCACAGACTTGTTGGTGGCAGTGTGGAGACTCAGCCACCCGAGCCCTGTGGGCTTCTCGCTTTGTCTCGGCTTTCTCCTCCTCCCCTCTCTTCAGCTTCCCTCAGTTTTTCTCTCCTCTCCTCTAGCTCCACCCTTGTCTCCCCTTTCTCTCTGGCTTCTCCTCTCAGTCCTTCCTCTGCCCTTCTAAAAGGTCTCCCCAAACCCACCTTAGGTCAGAGCTGGTAGGGACCTCGGGCTCAGTTCACCCCATCCCCTGGTTTACAGGTGAGGTGACTGGGGTCACATTACCTGGCTGGTCCCGGCCTCTCCCCCAGCTCCGGGGTGGCCGTGGGAGGCCAAGAGGAGCAATGGATTTCATAAGCCATCCTGATTTTATTACTTAAAGCATTTCTAGGGCAGGACCCAGACAAATGCTCGCTTCCTCCCTCCCTCCCTCCCTCCCTGCCTCTGCAGCAAAGATGCTGCATCTCTGCATAATGCTCTTGCCCTGTTTGGCTGAGAAGGGAAAGGTCAAGGTCTGCGTCTCTACAGACTGGAGCCTTTGAGGTCATCGGCTCCCGGCCTCTACCGCCAGGCCAGGAGACCCTGCCTCTGCCCCACATCATGCCAGCTGGGTCTCCCTCCTTTTGGGTCTTTTGTGTCCCTGGCACAGAGACCCCCAGCCTCTATGGGCCACCCTGTCTTTTCCTCACGCCCCTGCTTTGGGGAATTCCCAGCTTGAAGTAACCTCAGGCAGCGAACATTGATGACTGCCACACTGAGCTCGGTGATGTACCCAGCTGTGTCAGCTCTCAGCAGAAGGCCACATCCTGTCAAGCAGACTCTGAGAAGAAGCCTCACAGGAGCCTTCTTTCCACAGATGGGCACCCTCCACCCCCCCACACACTCCAACCTGATCTTTCCCACTCCCAGGCCTGTCCCACAAAGCCAAGGCCCAGAGTGGCTTTGCAAACCCTCTGGGAGTGCTCTGCACAGTGAGGCCACTTCACCTCGGGGTCAGCCACTCCGAGCAGCCAGCAGAGGTGGCCTGCCAGACTGCAGGAGCTAGCTGGGTACAGCTGAAAGGACACGGGCTTTGGAATTGAGAAGCCTGGCTGAATCCTGATCTGTCACTTAGCTCCTTGACCTTGGGCCAGGCACTGCTCTGAGCCTCCATTTCTCATCTGCTAAATGGGGAAGATGAAAGTTCCAGATGTGTCTATTTCACCAGGCATAAAAGTATTAGACAAGGTGACGCAGGTGAACATGTTCTGGAAATGGATGGAAGGCTGGGTTATTACTCTCCAGGTCTGCGGAGCTGCCAACACTCCTCCATCCACACGGCTCCCAGCCACCCTGCTAGTCCAGCCTTTCTGTCGTGGGACAGTCTGCTGCCCAGCTTCCTCTGTGTGTGGTGACTGTTCCTGATGCCTGCCCCCTTCAGTCCCCAGGTGGGAGCCCGTGGCCCCTCGTTCCCTCCTCCTAGTGGCTTCAGTTGGTGAAAACACACTCCCAGTCTCATCTGCTCAA